GCATTAGCAATATCAAAATTGCTTGATAACAGTTGCGTAAAGCGAACGTTTGCATTCAAAATACTTAAAAGGTTAAGTTATTATCGTGTTTAATGTAGTCTTAATCCCATTGGGATAAGGTTCAAAATGTGATTTGTTTTAATCGGTATGCCATCGAGGTAGGGTCGTAGTGTCAATCAGTAAAGATATCATTGTAGAATTCAGACATAGTGATCTATGCCTTTAAATGCTTGGAAATTGATTTTAAGATTAAACAGTTTCTTGGGTTTTTACTCATTTTTGGAGGTTATGGTTGGGCGTCATTGTGATTTCGTTTTAGTAGCTTATACAAAAATTTGACGGTGCATAAATCGACTAAAGAGGTCCAAAATACATTGCGCACATATTTATAGTCTGTGAATCCCAAAATTGACAAGAATCTGAATTTCACTTTTTCTACGAAAGACTAGGCGGTATGGTCGAAAGACTATAGCCTGCGCCATGGGCGGAAAAAAAATTGACGCGAAGAACAAGATGGCGTGTTAAACAACGAAGACGTGGCTTCGGCCTTTAAATTTACCAAAATTCTCCAATCATTACCAAGAACAAGACCTGGCTGTATGGATTAAAGTCCTTTGCCTTTCTCATTAGGGATAAATTAATATCATCATTAGAAATGGCGCGAACTATGACTTCCGTATGTCAAAATCCAATAGGTACTTACATATTTAAATATTGGAAGTCAGAATTAGCGCTAATTCCAGTTTCTGAATACTGTTGTATATAATACAGAGCCAAAATGTAAGAAAATCTATAATATCCTTCAGAAAGTTTACAAGAAACATATACTAAATTAGCAGCTGAACTAACTCAACTGAAACTCATCCAAACTATCAAACTTGATATTCAAGATTGAATACCAACAACAGGTTAGTTTTGACATTTTGAAGAAGGCCGATAACTCAACCGGAAGAACGAAATGTCAGACGCACCGTTGTTCCGCTAAATAGGTTACCTATATTTTACCCTTTAGGCCATATACCAACGGGATCCATAGCTAAGTTTGTGACGGAATAAATAATTCTTCGTTTAAAGAAGTACAACAAATATGCCAAAATAAATGACACGAAACATTTAAAATCCTGACGTTAATCTACATAAATGGCCGTACTTTGCTGCGTGTATCGGCAAATTATTCGTGTTACCGACTTTAATTGATAAAACGTATCATTTACAGTTTGCCAGATAAAATTAAAGCGTGTTGGAGAATTACAATATATTTTTACTACGAAATAACGTTTGGTGACAATAATTTTTTCTACGAATTCTTTATAGACAGAACTTATTGAAATACATGCATCACATTACAAAAAAAGCTTTCTTGTAAATGTTTGTCACACTGACGTCGCAAATTATTATTAATCATATCATTACATAATGATTTTATTTACATAATTCCTCGATGTGTGACTGCAGATCAAAACAGCAGTTTATAATAAAAGGTTTTAAGTTGTAACCATACACTATCTGAATCCTTTATTTCTTATTTATATAGTATCACCATGTAACGTACGCATATAACTACTGCTAAGATGTCATTTACTAAAGTGTGAAAATGGAGATAAGTCTCCAACAAAAGCCGCAGCCATTAAGCTTTACAGAATGGAAACCATCTCTGCAAAAGTATTGGGATAATTTCACGTATATTAGGTATATACTCTATTCTGTGGTTTATACATATCATTACTAGCGGACCCGACAGAAGTTGTCCTGCATGATATTTCAAGCGATTAGGATATTAAACAAAGTATGAGACTACCTTCTGCAGCGCCACCTGCCGGGCTGATTTGTGAATCTAAACCATCCAAACACATACACAAAAAATCATTCAAATCGGTCCAGCCGTTTTAAAGGAGTTCAGTGACATACATACGTGCAGTAGAATTATATATATATATATATGTAAGCTATCCTATCTTTTAAATTAGATCAAACTGCACACGGTGTGCAAATTTGATTGAAATCGGTTAAGTAGTTTAGGAGTCCGTAGCGGGGTAACAACGTGATTTATATATTAAGATTAAACATAACGCTGGCCATAGACGGACCGCATGTTGCAGTCGATACCGACTGCTCTAAGCGGTCGCCGCACGGCGAACTGCAGTTTCCATACTAAATTCATATCCGCCATACACGGACCGCACGACCAGTTTCTGAGCGGTCGGAGCAGTCGCTCTGCGGTCGAGTTTCGCCGTGCGGTTGCTGCCGACCGCACGCCACTCCCTCAAATAAAATAAAATACTAACTAATTCATCAAATGAAACCACGGACATTCTAAAGTAGTTGAAAAACTTTTTAGTGTCTTCTCTCAGCTGGTGATACAAAGTATGAAATATTCCATGCTGTTCTCTTGATTGTAGTATTGGACGCACCCACATACTACGGTGTCTTCTACGCCTACGCTCGCGTAATAATAGTACAAGTAGCAGTGTTTCTTCATCGAAATCCATCTTGTAAATGAACTCGCATCAGTATTATTTTGCGGTCGAACACAACTGCTCCAAGCAGTCGTAGTCGACTGCAATATACGGTCGTGTTGCAGTCGTGTACGACTTCAACGCGACCGCTCTACAGCAGTCGGTCTTGACTGCAACATGCGGTCCGTCTATGGCCAGCGTAACGCTGGCCAGCGTATGGCCCGCTTTCGACACGTATAAATTAATTAATAAGATAAAATTCGTTCTCAACATATTTAAAACGATAGCGTTTAATAACCTTTTACAAACACAAAAGTATTAGGCACATAAATTGTGTATTTACAATATTAAGCCTTTCTTCTATAAAAGAAATTCAATGTATCTCTATAATATAAACAATAAATTTGTATAAAACATAATGTGTTCCATGGTGCGATTTTATAAAAAAGTTAAAAATATTCAGTTATGAAAAATTATGGATACTTTAACTTACCATGAACACAGGTTGTCAATGCATTTACGTTAAGAAAAGACAATTTTAGCGTAACTTTGTGGCTGTTTTTAACTCGCTACCGGTGCTCGGCTTCTAGCTTATTTTATGCATAGAAACCTTACTGAAGATTTTCTTTGGACAACTACTTTTAAAGACGAAGTTTTAACAATGGCTTTATATTTACTTAGAATTTTTACAGCGTAGTTATAATATTGTAGTCTTTAAATGTAATTAACAGTTAAAATTGGAACCTGTTTTTTGGAGGTCTGCCGGCTAGTGGAGCATTGTGGTGATGAGAATTGGACCGAGTTGAGCCTAGTAGATTGTTATTAAAAGTAAGAACGGTGCCCTGAACCCGCAGCTCGTTATAATTTAAACTAAAAGTGTTATTTGTATTGTTAAAAGGAATTAATCTATTTTAAATACTGCACGATAATTATTCGCGTCTTTTGTGCTCGCACTTTATGCCCACATGACGCCCATTAATCGCTAATATCAATTGTGTGACGATATATCTCTCCGACATACAGTGTCTCTAAACTCTTTAAAAAGAATTTCAAGGGACCGAGCATTTTTTTACGTTATACAGTTTTTGTTATAACGACAGAGAAAAAAAAACCATATTTAACCAATTACAATAATTTCTTATTTTATTACTATCAATAGGTTTCTAAACACATATATTCTGTTTTGTATTTTTTTTGAGTATTTTGTCTGGCCATCTTGACATTTTCAAAGTTTGTTTACGAATAATGGCACTAACACGTGTTAATGCAATTAGGGGCGTCCATAAATTACGTGAGGTGTTTAAGGGGGAGGGGTCAAGTCAAATCTCATTTAATCTCGTTGAGAGAGGGGGTCTCGACAAATATCACGCAATTTTTTTTTATTGAAAAAAATTTTGGAAAACGGTTGACCCAAAAGGCCATTCTGCAACTTCCCGCTAATTCCATACCTAAACGCTCAAATTCACTTTTTTTAGTCGTAAAAAAGAGAAGCAATTTTTTTCTTTTTACAATAACAATCCGTAAGAAACCCATATTTGAAAAATCTAGTAATTGGGGTGGGGAGGGGTTGATTAAAATCTCACGACATCTCACCAGGGGGAGGGAGTCACAGAAAATTTAAAAAACACCTCACGTAATTTATGGACGCCCCCTTAGCAATAACAGAGGCGACACTGCTGTTCCAGACCTCGGTCAGGTGTCTTCTTAGAAATTTTGGCACCTCACAAGTTTAGTTCTGTAAGTTGATTATAAAAACAATTACACTTAAGTATGTTGTTGATGTCTAAATATGAAAATATTCCTTCGTAATAGAGAGTGGTTGTTGCGTTAGAAAGAGTGAATCAAGGTGTGGGTTTTGTGTTAAACCAAACAAATTTAACTCATCTTTACGTTATAAAGAAGAGTTCGTTATAACGAATGGCGTTATAAAGACTTTACACTGTATACATATTTTAATAACCTACAAAATTAAAAGAATTCAAACGATACTTTACGTATCATATACAGGGTGTTTGGTGCATCGTTTGCCAAATCAAAATGGTGGATTGGGGGGGTCTTTATCTATTATCCCAGGCCTCACAAAAAGTTCTTGGGCCAACGGAATAATTTATGTCGATTTTTTTAATGTTTTCTTTAAATTATCCAAAATTTGACTTTCAAAGGTAAATAAAAAATAAATTATACAATAAGTACACATAATGTTATTTTTCTTAATCTACAATAGTGTACCAATCCAAAAAATAAAAAATTACTTGCCAGCAGTATGTAGTTTTTTTTTATTAACTCGCAAAGTGTTAAAAAAAAAATTATTTAAAGTAAGTTCAATTTTGAACGTTAGTTAAAAAAAAAACTAAAACCGCTGATGTTCTTCGAATCATTTGAAAAATCTACTCTGGACTATCGCAATTCTAACAGTATGCAATAAATAAATAAAAACTTTTACTATCTTCATTAATTTTAAAACTTATGTTTAGGGTATTGCGTGGGAGGAAATTAAAAAACATAGAAAATGTAATTTTAATCATTTTTATTATTTTTTCCCTATTACAAATCTTGCTCAAATTGTTGTCCCCTATTGCGAATGCACGCGCGACACCTATCTCTGACTTCGACGGTTGTCGTATGAAGATTCATTTCTTGCCGGATAGTGACAAAAGCATCTTCTATTCTCTGGATTAACTCCTCCCTTGTCTCAACCTCCGTCGCATACACAATTGCTTTGGCTCGTCCCCAGATGTAAAAATCCAGTGGAGTTAGGTCTGGTAAACGTGGTGGCCATGCGATAGGACCATCTCTTCCAATCCACGAATTTGGGAATACATTATCCAAATGTTCTCGCACGGTTACTCTCCAGTGTGCTGGGCAGCCATCGTGTTGGAATACTATCCGCCTGTTTTCATTAAAAATGGGCAACTCAGCCATCAATTCAGGCAACTCATTTTGTAAAAAAAACAGATAATTATCTCCGTTAAGATTATCCGGCAAATAATGTGGCCCAATAACATTATTGCCAATCACTCCTGCCCAAACATTGACACTAAATCTTCTCTGAAAGGACCTTTGTTGTTTTACTTTTGGGTTCTGATCTTTTGACGACCAATGGTGTAAATTATGTAAATTCAATATTCCTTCTTTTGTGAATTTGGATTCATCCGTCCACAAAATACTTTTTAAAAAGTCAGGATCATCCACGTCGGTATGCAGCAAAAATCGACAAAACCGGACTCGGTTGTCAAAGTCATTGTTTTCAAGACCTGTAACCAATAAAAATTCCTGTACTGATACCTGCTTCACAAACGCATTAAGAAGATAAGTGTATTCCATTGTAAATAAAACCATTGTTATGAGCGAATAGGGTTGAATTATGAGAAAAAATATGTACCTTGTACAGGAGTGTAGTGAAAGGCATATTTATTGTTTTGACGAAGTACATTCCACACTTTCCATGTCGATATTTCTAGCAATGAAGCTACGTCTCTGACACTTCTAGTCGGGTCTTCTTCAAAAAGCGCCAGAATCCTCTCGTCGACTTCAACATTATGGCGCACCACAATGCCCCTTGTAACATTGTCCAAACGACCGGTTTCGCGTAAGCGTCGATACGTATTTTGGTATGTGTTTCGACCAGGTACACGCCTGTTAGGATAGCGCTCTTGGTACATTCTTTGAGCTGCTCGTGCAACACAGTCAGCTTTTCCATACACCAACAACATGTCTGAGTACTCTTCGTTTGAAAATGTAGCCATCTTCAAATCTCAACCACAACAACAAGACAAAAACAGTAACAAATCGCGCGCGGCACTACGATGAAACAATGAAAGCGTCAGGCAGGTAGCAGAGATAAAACTCGACTAAAAACATCACCCACAGCGCTGGCAGCTCACCCTCAACCTAATAAAAGAAAGAGACAGACGTACTAATCCGCTGCATAAGAGGGAGACGGAAGTTTTTAGGTGTGTTACGTTTATGATACCAAAAAAATGTGACCCTATACAGAAAGATTTTGTTTTTTTTTAAAGTAGGTAGGCATACCAGTAGAATCAAGATAGACCAGAGTAGTTTTTTAAATTATTCAAAGGACATTAGCGCTTTTAGTTTTTTTCTTATTAACATTCAAAATTTTACTTTAATTTTAATTTTTTTTTTTAACACTTTGCGAGTTAATAAAAAAAAACTACATACTGCTGGCAAGTAATTTTTTATTTGTTGGATTGGTACACTATTGTAGATTAAGAAAAAAATAACATTATGTGTACTTACTGTATAATTTATTTTTTATTTACCTTTGAAAGTCAAATTTTGGATAATTTAAAGAAAACATTAAAAAAATCGACATAAATTATTCCGTTGGCCCAAGAACTCTTTGTGAGGCCTGGGATAATAGATAAAGACCCCCCCAATCCACCATTTTGATTTGGCAAACGATGCACCAAACACCCTGTATATAGATACGTTCATAATATGCTTATAATATATCCATATCCATCTTTGAATGAATTTCATAAGCGTAGGTCCTAATAGTATTTACTGGTGGCACACCTCAAAGTAATACACTTTAAAACTTCTTGCAACTAGAAACATAAATTTGATTTGTTCCAAGATCTCATAAAATCTATATTTGTAGCAACATAGTGTTTACTTTGTCTGTTTCAAAATACCCTACCTAGGTTTAGGTTTAAAGACTTTATTTCTCAAAAAAGACAACAAATGTCACTTACATGAGAATAATACTCTAGATAACATAACATTGTAGTCGTTCTTAAAATAATCACAATAAAATATAGCCGTATATGCAATAAATTTAAAAAATAAAAGTAAACAAAGAAATATGAATTAAAAGTAAGTAATAAGTAAGTAATAAGAAATGAATTTAAAAGTAATTTTGTTTAACATATTCACTTAGCTTCGATTTGAATGAATTGATAGAAGTAATATTTTTTATATCTGTGGGTAGTTTATTATACAGCTGTGCGCCTTCGTAGGTAAACATTTTTTTGCCGTAGTTCGTACGTACTTTAGGTAATGCAAGATAACTCGTTCGACGCATACTTCGTACACGTGGCGGTTTGGAGAATGCTAAACTAGTATGGAGAGAACTTGTTATAAATTTTTTTACAAGAATACATGTGTGATAAATATAAAGTTGTTTTAGATTCATTATGTTTGTGTCTCGATATATATTTATGGTAGGTGCAAGATAATTATAGTGGAACAGTATTTTTATAATTTTATTTTGTAATACTTGAATATTTATTAATTTAGTTTTAGCGGCGCTGCCCCATACTTCAATTAAATAAAGTAGATGTGGCTTGACCAACGAGTTGTAGATGGTGTAACGTACCTGACGTGGGATACACCGAGCAATGTGTCGAAGTGATCCCATAAGTGAACAGAGCTTAGATCTGGTGTTCTCAATTTGTGTATTCCACGTCAAACCGCTATCCATTCTAAGCCCGAGATATTTTTCTGTACTTTTTTCTTCTATGACCGTGTTATTTATTTTTAATGGATCATGAGGTAAAACTTTTTTATTTTTAGATTTAAATATAATGTAGCATGTTTTCGACGCGTTGACAGTGAGTAAATTATATTGAAACCAAGTGAAGAGTAGATTAAGGTCTTCTTGGGCTCTGCTGAAGATATCTTTGATTGAACTGCCAAAGTAAAATAAACACGTATCATCTGCATATAAAGTAAGGTGACCGTTTAATCCAATTTCATGCAAGTTATTTATATAAATAAGAAGAGACCTATCTTCCAAATAAAATGGAAAAAGATTTTTAAACCAGTTTTCCAATTATTGTGAAACCAAGTATTATTTTATTATTACAATCTCTTTTGTGGACTCATCCCTCTTTCGTGGAACAGCCCCGCTAAAGTGTGCGTCAGGTGGGCTGACCTAACTTGATATCGGAATCAAACTATACGCCATATTTCTCTACCTAGGTATTTGATACTATTTGCTACCTTCAAAGACACATTTGCTACCTCTGCATTAAAGAACATAGTAAAGAAATAATTGGCCGGCCATTCTGACGTCAGGTTGGCTGACTAATCGTTGAGTGCTAGAGTTTTTATACATATTTACTACCTATTTTCTACCTGTGCAAACAAACTTTAAAATAAGTCTCCGAAGCCTATACATTTTTTTATTATTAATATAGCTATGAGGGGTCTAAAAACGCCTACAAAAAAGGTTAAGCAAGGGTTCGGCACGTATAACTTATCACAACATTGCAGGCGCTTAGTGTTTCCTATGTCACCTGACGCACATCCGCTAAAGCCCCGTTTGCCCTACCTTAAATCCTGCGCTGCTTGTATGCTACAATTACTCTAAGAGAGAGGAGGTCCATTTCTAGCCTAAATATTTCTTATGTATTGCTTATTTATTTGGTAATTTTATAAAACTTCTCTTCTCTTCTTCAATAAGAATACTGTATCAATCAAATAAGATATGATTTATGAAGATTATGACAGTTCAAATCAAAATCTTTAAAATCAGTTGTAGGCTGTGCCTAATTAAATAAGGTAGCTTCAATCTTATTGGATTCAAATTCCTTAATTGTTTTCATTTATATTTTTTCCTGATATGATTCGTGTCGACTTTGAAGCCTGGTTGCGTTCTTCACAGTATCAGCGACATTTAATAGCGAACACAGAAAAAAAAGTTCTATATATGCATAACGCCTCATTCCGGTTGTTGTATTACTCTGTTTTTCACTTGTGACTTACTTTCATCAACTTTTAATCTACCTCTTAGTATAAATATGTACCTACTTCCAATAACAGGCAATACTAATAAATAAACTAATCTACGTGGAAATACTTACCGGGAAAGCATCAAGTTTTCCGATTTCAGCGGGAATGGAAATGGTCTTGAAATCTAAATAGAAAATGCACTGCTATTTTGTAGAATAACGGAATTAAGTTGGTAAACTACTAGACTTACGACAATAAGTAAGAGACAAAAAATGATCGTAAATTAATTAAAAAGAAGAAACTAAACAAGACAATTATTAATAATTTTACTAATATTATAAATAACTGTATTTATTTATATAACAGGAGGTAAATGGGCAGGAGGCTCACCTGATGATAAGTAATACCGCCGCCCATGGACACTCTCAATGCCAGGAGGCTCGCGAGTGCGTTGCCGGCCTTTTAAGAATTGGTACGCTCTTTTCTTGAAGGACCCTAGGTCGAATTGGTTCGGAAATACATCAGTGGGCAGTTGGTTCTTCATAGTGTTGATGCACGGTAAAAACTGCCTTAAAAAGCGTTCACTTGTGGAACGACGGACGTCGAGGTGATACGGGTGGAATTACACATTCTGCCTCGACGTCCGATTCGAATTAATTTACCTCTAGCTAACCATTACCAGTTAAAGACTTGGTGGTACGGAACAACTCTGATGAAAGCATGACATGGCATATTTTTCGGCCATAGGCTAACAAGATATTTTGCGATAACTCTTATCCTAAAATGAACGTTATGCGCTATTAATTTATTGGTAACTCATTATCATATGGCAGAGAGAATAAGAAAAAAAATTTCGTAAAATTTTGTTATATTTTTAGATGGTGGGTTTAAGCATTGTTTATAAGACGATATGTTCCTGACTTGAAAGCATTGCGTTAAGGTCTCCTATGACGTTTGAAAAAAAAGGCTTAACAATCGAATTAATGTCTGGCAAATTCATTTTCAGTTTTTCTTATATTTAAATAACATAATATTAAAATTACAGACATTCTAAAATGCTTTGAAATTTTTATAAAAATAAAACTTAAAATCGCGTCTGGCACATAGTTAGCAACGTGAAAAATGTCTGGCAATAAAAAAAGTATGTCAGGTAGACGTATTTAAAAAGGAAAAATCAAAAATTACGCTTCTTAAAATGCAATGCTTCATCATACTGCAATACTTTATCATTTTAATTCAAGACTTAACAATCGAATTAATGTCTGGCAAATTCATTTTCAGTTTTTCTTATATTTAAATAACATAATATTAAAATTACAGACATTCTAAAATGCTTTGAAATTTTTTAAAAAATAAAACTTAAAATCGCGTCTGGCACATAGTTAGCAACGTGAAAAATGTCTGGCAATAAAAAAAGTATGTCAGGTAGACGTATTTAAAAAGGAAAAATCTAAAATTACGCTTCTTAAAATGCTTTTAAAATCCAGGATTATTACCTGGACAGATAGGATGCGCACTAATGAACGCAACCGCTACCGCCAGCCAGATTGCCCAGACTCTAACCGGAAGTGCAAGAAGGAAGACATATCACAAAATCAGCTGACCTGAAATTCTTTCTCGAAAACGTTGCTACCTCTCGTACTATTTACAGAGATTCTTGTTACTGTCTTTTATTAATAGCGACATACTCTCATATGCCAAAATTATTTTGACATAAGTACCTACATCATACACATGATGATGTAGCCTACTTATGTCAAATTTGATGCCACTGATTTATTTATTTAATTGACATTAACTAAATAAATCAGTGGCGCTACAACCATTTTAGGTCTGGGCCTCAGATTTCTGTATCTGATTCATGATAATTTTTTAATCCAATAGGCATTTAGGTGATCAGCCAGGTGTACCTGACACACGCCTTCGACTTTTTGGGTCTGAGTCCTGAGACATGCTTTCCTCACAATGTTTACCTTTACCGTTCGAGAGAGAAAGTCCATTGATGCACAGCCAGGGATTAAACCTACGACCTCATGGATGAGACTATATCTATATTTCTCTTTTTTGCATCTCCAGCACATGCGCTAGTGAAAGGTAAAAAAATACAACTTTTTTCAATAATTTATTAAAAATAAGAAATAAACTATATGTATTACGACGAAAAGATGTGGTAACCGCTCCTTTTTACAGTTAAATTACCAGGATAAATAAAAAAAGGCATTAGTTATATGCCTGTACTAATATTGATTTGATCAAGATTTAATAACATCCAAAACGTTTGAAGACAATTTTACGTTTACTAACGAGCTAATTATATTCCGTGGAATTAATATAGAGAATATTTGAAAACACTTAAAGCACACTTAGGGGGGATCGGGCCTATGCTCCTACGGTCCCCAGCACGACATGCTTGCATCGCATGGTAGCATAGGCCGCAGGCCTACCTTTTACCTTCTGATGGGGCCGTGGCGTTGGAGGTAGCGCAAATTGAGATTCCCAAGGCAAGTTTTGTGGATAAGCCTTCCCGAGGTTTCCCGACCCTGTTCTTGGTCTAATACATTATGTTATAGACGCAACAAAAACCACCAAGCGAACTATTGCAGGGACGGCGAGGTCATGTCCTTGCAAGTTCATCGTCCGAAACGACGGTGCGGTGGACTGTAAATGACCTCCCGAGGTCGAGTAATGAGTAGTGAGCCGGCAACAGTTGTGCCCAGCACACAACACAACTCCGGACTTCTTCTTACACGAGAGGCCGTGGATTAGCATTTAGCTGTCCATGGTCAATTGGCTGTAGTATCCTTTCAGCGGGCTACCTAGCGAGAGTTGAGGTGTGAAGGTATGTGGGGGGATTGTGATACGGGACTCGGGGTGAATTTGCGTCATCGCTTGGTGATGCGAACAGCTCTGTACTACCTTGTGTGTGCGGACGCGTCTGCCTGTCTACGCGCTGGCTCTATAACGAAGGATATATAGCTGGCTCTATAGCCTTTGCTTAGCAAGTGACGTACCCGACTTGAGGGCTCCGCAGGTGGAGAGCTGCGATGGTGAAATTTTTCCCATTTAACTAATGGATAAAGAGGCTATAACAATGAAGCCTGCCACGTGCCCAGAGGCTTATGTGCGTCTGGAAGTAGCTGGGTTAGTTAGCCAGGACTTTAAACCTAATGAGCGTCTTAGTGCGGAAACTGTGTCCACCAACCTTATATTATAAGCACTTAAAATCTAAATAATAAGGCATTTTTCAGACAGTTATGGACTTAAAATGTTGTGCATTGTACAATACACCTTAACGCTAACCTATAATAAAGGAAAAAAATATTTTTTTTTAGTTATAAAACAATCTTCCCAGTGACTCGAAAATCCACGGATCGGAGACAAATATGGTCTGTAATGTCCGTACTAAATATTTTTTTTATTAATATTATCAAAATCAATTTGCAACATGCGTAACCCAGTAACGGCTATCTAATGCAGCTTGTCACGTGACCATTTCCATACAAATCCTTATGGCGTAAGTGGGCGCGCTTGTCAGATAGTGATTTTGTTTAGGGCCCCATCATCATATTGACGGACTATACAATTATGTATAGAGACATTTTACAAACCATTTTAGATAAATACTTAAAACATAAATAAATAAATCAGTCTTATTGCATTCTCCAAGTAAAGTCCTCATTCTACTGAGACAGATTGATTTAGTTTTTATGAAGAAGGCGCTAAAATTTATGAGGAGATAAGTATTTTATAATGAATATAAGATCATGGTCTAATACATATTGGAAAACCAGAACATTGTCAAACCTCAAAAATAAAAATTGACAGATCGTAAAACCAGCGTCTATACTTAAACAGAAAAACCAATGGCGCTACAACTCTTGACCACAGATTTCTATATCTGTTTCTTGATAATCTTCTTACACTCTTCTGTGCTTGACATCTGTGCCTGACGTTGTCGATGTTTCAGCTGAAATTTCTATTGGTGCACAGCTGTGATTCGACCCAACGACCTCAGGGATGTGAGACTACACAAAATACTCATATTAATAAAGTAAAATCAAAACTAATATCGAATTAATTTATAACGTCACAAGTCACAACCTTTCTTGTTTTAGTTTATTGAAGAAAAATATACAAAACATGAAGATACAATCAAAAGAGCAATTTACATGATTCAATTTCTGACTTTTGTGTACATCAATAAAAAAAAATTCTGAGTATGATGATGCAAGCTAAACTCAAATGGCTTAATTTTTCCATAAAACAATTATTATACAAAAAGGCATTACCTTAATTGGCCTTTGAATTATCCAGTTATAACATTTCTTCAATAGGACTGCTTATTTTGTTGGGCTGTGTCATTATTTGAATATCGACTCTGTAAGAAACGCAAGTGCAATAGTAAATATACAGCAGGTATGTTGAAAAATAACTTTTATAATGCATATAGAAGTGACTTTTATATTATGTAAATTCGACATTTTGAGTGCTTAGACATAGTCAGACTACCTCGCTAAATCTAATATATTAAATTCTAGTGTCACAATGTTCGTTCCCGTACTCGTCGGAAACGGCTCGACTGATTCTTATGAAATTTTTTATGCATATTCAGTAAGTCAAAGCATCGGCTACTATCTATCTTTCAAATTCATAAATTTTTATTTTTTAGATATAAGGTTTTGTTTTTATTTTTTTATGATACAGCATACATAAATACATACAACCCTTAATTTTCACCCCTCTACGATCAACTCCTATTTTTTATTTGTTAATTAAAATCTTATAACTTGAACTCTGAGGTTTATATAGAGAAAAATTCACAGAAAAACCTAAAAAGGTTTTAAATCCAGAAAACCAAACCGTCTCTGGGGTAGCAAAGCAAAATGTTCCATGTTGGTATGTACTAAAAAGGCAGGCTAAGCAAATTAACATTAAGGAGAAACGAAGTTCGCGGGGGCAGCTAGTAGGTATACATATAAAATTTCATCCGTCCGTCCGTGACATGAAATTTTATTACTATAGTTAATAATTTTCTTATATTAGCCTTCCAACCCAGAACAATCATTGATTTGTATATAAGTGCAGAATATCATCTATACTATAGAGAACAAATTTAGTAAAGAAAAACTTACAATAAATCATTTGGAAGCTCCGCAGTATTCATTTTATTTTTGGTTATGTACATAATACAAAGTACTTTGAGGGATGGTAAGTATTCTAACAAATGTAGATCATCCTTATCCAAAACTCGTTCCTCATCCTCACTTTCATCATCTTTTGTTTCTACAGGCACATTGTCTGTTGGACTAAAAATTAAGAACAAAATGTATAGATCTTTTTTAATGGCTCTGGCACGATTTGTGCCAGCGTCAAGTATAGGATTTTTTATAATTCGTGCTTGTCTTTGGAAATTCGAACGTGTCCTCCATGTAAGGTATAAGCACTCGCCCGGTACCGCACAACCCTCCCAAAGGCCGAGAACAAATTTAAATTAAATTAAAACTTGCACTCGAACCTAGAATCACCTCACCTAGCTGAATACATAGATTTTATATGACAAATAATTAATCAGTTTATCTTTTATTTACTCAGTTTGGTATTATAGGAATAGTTGATACTTTTAGTTATTAAAAATAAAATATTTCAATAGTTACCTCGTTCCTCCAAATAGGTATACTTTGTCACTATATTTGTCGTTATACAGAATACACACCTGTCGTCTTCTTTTACAGGGTGGTGTGCCATAAACATTAATAAATTCCCAATGATTACTTAACAATGAATATCGATGTATGTCATTGTAATGTGTCTTTTTTCTGTCATTATACCCACCAAAAATGTACATAAAATCATTATGTATCCCTGAAATATTCAAAAGTTTTATAAACAATTTATTGTGTTATTTCATCATTGAATGGTATTAAAGGGTCTTGAAAGTTTATCACAATGTATTGGTATCTTTTTAAAAATTATATAACTATTAGGATGTGGCGACACCTGGTAACTTACAACTTGAATGACTCCGTCTTCCATCTGGTTTCACTCCTTTTGCCTTAACTTTTACCCATGTTTCTGTTACAGTATCAAAATAATAGACTAAATCACAGTAATACTCTTGATCATTACTATGTGGCCTACTTAACTCTGATCTACCTCCAAAAATGTACATTCGATCCCCATATGCCAATGCTGTATGAAAGTCCCTCCCTACTGGAGGACTCCCTTTAGCACATACATAACACCATTCCATAGTTTGTAGATTTAAATAGTGCAAGTTGTTTGTATATTCATCAGTAATGTAGTCAAATCCTCCAAATATATACATTTTATTGTTGACAATACACGCTGAATGACCATCTTTTCCATTAGGTATTCTGCCTGATACCAAGGGAGTGCTCCACTTAAGTTCCTCAGTATCAAAACAATAGACTATGTCACAAGGTACAGTATAATTACGTCCACCCCATAGATAAATCTGGAAACAAAATAGTATCCTTATCATAAATATGTTACCATCTTCAACTATACTTATTTAATTGTGGATGGTTGTTAAGCAATTCTATTAAACAAACTGTAGGTTGTCAATATGTGAAATATTAAACCTTACCTTGTCTCCATATGTGACACAAGTGTGCCCATACCTCTGGAATGGTGCTCCTATCAAGTTGCTATATTCTACAGGAGCCCATTTGTATACCGTTGTGTCTAAAACATGTACTGATATTGGCTCCCAGAGTCGGTATTCTTCCAATGAACTATAACCCCCAAAAGAGTATATTTTGTCACCAACCAGGGCTGCTGCGTGATTCACCCTCCGAGGCCCACCATGAGTGTGCAAAGTCCAATACATTTTTTTAGTTAAACCCTTAAGTTCACATTTAATTATTATGAGTACAATATATTTTATTATTCCCGAACTAACTTATGTGTGTTGAAACGGTTTAAATCAAGCTAGCTATACTGAAATGTTTCCTTGGCTCAACTTAATTAGTAATAAAATCTAAATAAAATACTTCTATTATTTAGTTATGTTTTGCCCTGATATTATTTTATAAAATAATATTCTACGCTGCACAAAAAAGGACGAAGGTAACACAAGTGGACTCAAGTCTCAACTCTCAAGTACGACCAATGACCATTGACTAAAGAAAATCTATCACAGAATATAGAAGGTTGTCGTTGGCAGAGTCTGTGCTCCAAGAGAACCGGCGCGGTGTGGCCATCATTTAATTTATATATACAAGTTTAACATATTAAAAGTATTTTTGAAGTGAAACTTCTTTAAGCGCATGAGGGTAAAATTTATACGGAACGTCACGAAAATGTGCAGCGTTTTTGTTGAAGAAAAGGGAGAGAGCGATTGAGATCGGTTGAGAGAGAGAGAGAGTGAAAAGGGGGAAATACCTCATAGAAATTTTATTTTTAAAATTAAAATTTCGTAAAGAGAATCATTTTATGAAATATTAGTATTTTATATTTTATGCAAAATAATTAATTTAAATCTTAAATGACGAATTCTAAATTAAAATGCCACGTTTTTATTATCGAAGAAATAAATTAAATTTATATTAACTTTTCATTAAATTCCTAACATATCCTTTTTCCCTCCCTCTAAGTCTCGGAAAGTTTTAGATTTGTATAAATATGAACAAGACTTAAAAATTAGTTTGCCAAACAAGTTTCGGGTTGGGTGTGAGTCAAACGAACCTGGATTTGATGATGCTGATTGTGCAGGAGTCTCGGGGACCCTTGATTGGAACACCTCCAAGTGATTTTAGCTTAAGGATAAGCGTCAAAGTATTTTAAAAAATTTTTTTAACTTTTCTCAATTGTATTGAAATTTATAAACAATCCGCCATTATCTAACTACTTTTCTATTGGTTATAAGAGATGTGACATTCTCGATTTCTATTGGTTATAAGTGATGTGTCATTGTCGTTTTCTATTGGTTATAAGTGATGTGACATTTTCGGTAAATTAATCGGATCGATTATTTTCTCATTTGTTATTTTTAAAGTTGAACTTATTTAAGCATTACTTGTCAAATGTATATACATTACATTAACTTCATGTTTTAATTAATGTATGGTTCCGAAAATTATTAAATTATTCAAATAGTACCCAAAACCGAATCAGAGCACCCCACTATCCACGTGGTCTTGTCTGCCTTACCCCTAGAGTGTATATAAATAATCGGAGGCGCGGAGGAAGAGCAGCCCCCACCCGCTGTAACAAAGCACAGGCATTATGAAAGCTGTAGAGGCTGAGGCTGGTCCAAAAAGCCGAGGTTGTGGAGGCTTGAATAAAATGCCTGTGCTTTGGTACGCAAGGGTGCAGGGGCTGCATTTCCCGTAGCGCCGAAGCTGTCCACAAAAACAAATATTATTTAGATTGGTTAGGTTAGAGTTAGTATATGAATATTTGGTCGCCGAGAAGCCGAGGCTTGAATAAACAATTACTATTTAGATCGGAGCTTTCCACAAAAAAAAAAAATATTTATATTGGTTAGGTTAGAGTTAGTATATGAATATTTGGTCGCCGAGAAGCCGAGGCTTGAATAAACAATTACTATTTAGATCGGAGATTCACACACTTGCCCAGGCATGGGGGCCCGTAAGTGGGTTTCCCCAGGTAAAAAAAAAAAAAAAAACATTTTTTTTTTGGTTTCCTAAGCGCAAAATTTGTGGGGGGTGATTACTACACCCCTCCCAGCCCCCCCTTCCCCCCCGCAACCCCAAATTTGGGTACTTATATTTCACATCGTTACCCAAGTTTCACCTCTGACATGTGTGCTTTGTACGCACGCACTTTTTTTAGGTAAGCGGACTTTTTCATTATATTTTGACTAAGTGAGCACTCGTCAGCCGTTTAAAATATGCAGTAGTAGGGTTCAAAATAAAACTCACATTTATTTAAACGTAGTTTAAGTGTATTAGCAACGTTGGTACATGAGGATTACTGGAATAATACTGTTGTTATTTCAAACATACGTCTCACTGTGTCCCAAAATAGTAGGTAGGTACTTAGTACAAAATGTATAATCACCAAAACCGTGCACGCACTAATGCCTTATATTAAATACTTTATGCGTCTATTACACCTATAAATTCAATAACTGACACTACTAATAGGTAGATATAAAACGTGAGCATTCATACACAAAGTTTTATTACTTATATTCGACTAACACATGATTTAAATTCATCTCAATTGTTAACGTTTCAAGTGGATCCATAGTAAGACAATGATTTATAGGAGTTTCAAGATACGAACTACATAGCTAAGATGCAGCTATTGGATAGAGGTGATGTTGTAATGGGCATATTTGGTGGTTGACTGCGATGCCATTACAGAAAGTAAAGCCGCATTTCAGCTTGTGAAGGATAACACACCCATCCCATGTTTTATCAACTACATGATAGAGATTCAGACTATCGTTATAAAGACGGAGAGGTTAGGATAATTTATTAAAAACTCCAATAAAAAAATTCTTGCCATGGACCAACAAATTCTCAAAATTGCAAATATAGCATTCGGATCAATTAAAATTGCTTCTACAATAACACTAATCTAACAAAGTCTTGTTTTATATTTCGCTAAAAATAAAAATTAAAGGAAAGCTAAACGTCAAGTCTTACATCCAAATTCCTTCGTTATCTGTTAAAAAAAATACAAAACTTAAGAAAAACAAAACGTCAAAAACCAAGGCAAATAAAAAGAAGAAATAATAAAAAATAATTCTTTAATTTTCTGTGAATATAATTTCTTTATGCACGATTATTTACTATTAAACTACATACAACATGACATAAGAAACTATTATTAATACTACTGTCGCAACGACAAATGAAATACATTTGTTAAATAATTTTCATATGTAAAATAAAATATAAATAATCGAGTATTACTGTTGCAACAACTGTATAATCTGTGGTTATCACATACCATAGACATCGATATAATAATGTTATGTAACTCTAAGTTACATACCCATACATTGGGCATTACCGGCTTAGTACGAGTCTACAATACGACAATAACAATAACGTAATTAATACTAGACGCACATTGTTTGACTATAAACTCGTACTAGGCTGGATATATTTAGAGATCTAATGGAGAAGAGGGCTTATTACTTGTTAAGTAGAAAATTTTTATATAAAATTTAAGTTACTCAAGCCCCATCTACCTACCGGAAAAGAAATAAAATTTACAAGAGATAACGTAATATATTACGCGAAGATAGTAAATATTTCACATTACATTGAATAACACAATACACTTTCGCCTACATTTTCTATGAAATAAAATCAATTTGAAAGATTTAGGCAAACATTATGTCAAACTATATTGACTCGTTCGCGATTTTTTCACCTTGCTTGGATGTTTTTATATGAAACTTTCACATCACCAGGGGACTTATATAGAACTGCAATGATTGTAATAATAATAATACGACGATTTAGGTTTCAATATTTACTGTAAATGGATAATGTAACTGCGTATTTTATATAGAAATTATGTTTTAAATAAGAACCCGAGACTAAAATATTATTGAATCAGTTCATATATTATATATAATTCCCCTTTCGCATTCTTTTTCAACACCACAGATGACGAATTTCAGTATGACATCTATGAAAGGTGTACGGGAACGAAGAAACGCTTCATAGAAGCGACTTTGCTGTGGCAAGCAACTATTGTACAATTTGTATTAATAAAATTATCTTACAAAACTCATACCCTTAAATAACTTTGTACCAACACTAGACACTTCTAAATGCTCTCTTGTGCTTGGCCCTATTAGCAAAGTTCAACCAAAACTCGATTACACCGCTGTAATTGCCCATAATCATACAGTCCCGAATAAAATGATTTGTAATAAATAATTTAAGACTAACCTTAATACGGAGGGAAATTAATCCTTAATCATATCTTAAATAATAAGTGAAATTTCATCGATTTAAATGATTCTTAAGGCCTGTAGAATTATTGAGCTATTTTTTCCTAAACATATCTAAAGTGTCATGCAAATGATTTTCAGTAGCTAAAAATGCGAGTCATACAGGAATGTAATTGGTCAATTGCGAATTAATTCTCATGTTAAAAACAGTTGTACAAGCATCTTAACACATACAATAGTCATAGTATGCCGTCTGGAAATTTGACATACAAGCGTCATACTAAAGCTTAGGTTTCCTAGCAAAGCGGTGCCGTTAACTAACGGCCGTCATTTTACGGTTGTTAATAACGGCCGTCTTTACTTTTGCCGTTGGATAACGGCACCGCTGTTCTAGGAAACCGAAGCTTTAGCGCTGAAATAAAAACTTTTTACACATTACTTTATTATTTTTCGACTTTTGTCACATTGTGTTGATGTCGCAGCCAACTAGCTTAATTAGCCGTTCAATCAACAGCCTAGCCTTTACTCAACAGCGCCAATTGAGCTAGTTGGCTGCGACTTAAAAAGAGATCTATTACAGTGAAGTTTATTAACCGACTTCAAAAAAAGATTTTGTAATTTTTCCTATATCTGTAAAAATACTTGTACCGCTGAATGGAGAGTATAAAATATTTAAAAACTGTCCAATTACAATCCACTCGACCAAAAATCTACTACTTACACAATATACAAACGGACAGGTAAAAAGACATACAATATGGAATGGTTACAAAAACCACTTCTGATTCAACTATGAATATCGCTTAGGGAGCGTTCAAGTATTGCGTCACGCAATTTTTGGAGATTATTGCCCCCCCAAATGTAACGTAACGTCTTTTCTGTACCCAAGTATAGTAAAATGTTTCGTGACCACGTGACTGTACCCAAAAATTACCATAATGTGGTGTAAAGTACTGGAAAGCTGAAAATAATATTATCAATAACGCGTAATACAATCCCCGCCCCGCTTCGTTCGTTTTACGAAAGGACACCCCCCCTAAAATTCGTTACGTAATATTTGACTGCTCCCTTAAGCGTTACTAATAGTTAAAATAATGGTCACTAGATTCGTTATGCAATAAATTGCGTATTAATAGAAGATATAACACCTATAAACCCCTTATGTCAATAATGGCACGATTATATACAGGGGAATTGACATGAAATAGCTGAATCGAAACTCCCGAACAAAATTCATATAAAAAATTCATTAAACATTTGCACTGTAAATGGTAATCCATTAATGATTATATCATATCTTACGTTTATCGAATATAAATGCTTTACCAATACGTACTATAAAGTACCAAAATTACACAAATCGATTAAATGTCTTTTCGTTTAGCTATTGTCTGAGAATGTAAAAAATTGATATTCCAAAAGTTGTCTATGGTCTATAAAATACGTCTGCGATGGCTTAAAGGTCTCGTTACCAGGCCATAAAATTATTTAAAAAAAAATACGTCTGCGTTCGTAAATTTTTCAAAATCAACTTTTTTTTTATTATATTATGGCAATAGTTTTTACTTTATGCCAAAATCAACTTTCTATATAGAATTTTCCAATAAGTAGACTAAGCCCACCCACAAATCTGTCTCTTTTCCTCACAACGTACGCACTTTGAAAGAAAGAGACAAAGAGTACTTCAGTTAAAAGAGAGAAGACTGATTTAATAAAAAACATATTTTATAGACCCTAAAATCTCGCACTGGTTTTAAATGCACATTCAAATGAAATTGATCGACTCAAGTTACCATATAGTAAAAAGCTTTTTACTCTGTGGAAAATCATCAACATTCATCGGTAACTCAACGTGTGCTAGGAGGGGGCATCTGTGCCTGAACACCTTGAAGATTCATCGGCCGACCGTTTGGGTTTCCCATTCCTAGTCCATCTGCATAATTATTCGCGTCCATTGGAGGCATATCCTCGTTCTAAAATAATTAAAATATTAATAAATAAGGAGTCAATATTTTCCAAACAAAATAAGAAGAGTAGAAAAATATTTTTCATAAAAAATAGTTTTCTACTCTTTCTAAAATATCGAATTATTGACTATGTTCTATTTAAGCTCTCAATGTCATATAAAAAAAGCCATAACCAAGATCGTGCTCTTTCAAGCTATTAAACGGATTTTTACACAGCATCTTTTCTGGTAATATCTCCGCAAACTTTGTTTTGAATCTATCTAGAATATGCTTTTAGTTTTAAAAAATACACAAAAAAAAAAAAAAAAGGGGGGGGGGGGAGGGGGGGGGGAAGAAGGGTTTTTTTTTTTTTTTTTTGTGAAAAAAAAAAAAAAAAAAAAAAAATTTTTTTTAAAAAAAATATGTTGGGGGGGGGGAAACCCAAACCATTTTTGGGAAGAAAAATTTTCAACGGTTCCATTGCACGAAACACACAAACATCCGCTATAAACGTTCGATAGTAACTGAATAAAATGCGCTCGTCTGGGATCCCAACAGAATTTCTGCGAACGAAATTTCTTTTGCGACGTCATTTCTAGACTTTTTTTAGTTCACAATAATAAAAAAATGTCACGCTCGTTTAGGCAATCAAGATCAAAAAGTTGTTGTCCTCTAAGCTGATATGATACAATATTCGAAAAAAATATGCTTGTTTCGTATAATAGGAACGAACATTTGACACAGAATTTTATATAATAATACTAGCTGACCCGGCAAACGTTTGTTTTACCATGTATATTATTTCTAGGAAACATTTTTTTAGTTCAATAAAAATAACTATCTACTATAATAAAAAAATAGTGGTCGATCGTAGAGGGGTGACAATTAGGGGTTGTATGTATCATAAAAAAATCAAACAAAAAAATAATACTAAAATATAAAAATAAAATTTTGGGGTGGACCACCCTTAACATTTAGGGGTTTGAAAGATAGATGTTGTCCGATTCTCAGATAGATTAATTTTGGTTCCGTTTCGGAGGAGTATGGGAACGAACATTGTGACACGAGAATTTTATATAATAACTAGCTGACCCGACAAACGTTTGTTTTGTCATGTATATTATTTCTAGGAAACATTTTTTTAGTTCAAAATAAATAACTATCAACAATAATAAAAAATAGTGGTTAGTCTTAGAGGGGTGAAAATTAGGGGTTGTATGTATCATAAAAAAATCAAACAAAAAAATAATACTAAAATATAAAAATAAAATTTTGGGCTGGACCACCCTTAACATTTAGGGGTTTGAAAGATAGATAGGTCCGATTTTCAGACTTACCGAATATGCATAAAATTTTCATAAGAATCGTTCGAGACGTTTCGGAGGAGTATGGGAACGAACATTGTGACACGAGAATTTTATATAATAACTAGCTGACCCGGCAAACGTTTGTTTTGTCATGTATATTATTTCTAGGAAACATTTTTTTAGTTCAAAATAAATAACTATCCACAATAATAAAAAATAGTGGTTAATCTTAGAGGGGTGAAAATTAGGGGTTGTATGTTTTTATATTATGTATCATAAAAAAATCAAAACAAAAAATTATACTAAAATATAAAAATAAAATTTTGGGGTGGAGCCACCCTTACCATTTAGGGGATGAAAGTTTGACATTCTCAGACTTAGAATAGCATAGAATAGGAAACCAGCGTTTCGGAGGAGTATGGGAACGAACATTGTGACACGAGAATTTTATATAATAACTAGCTGACCCGGCAAACGTTTGTTTTGTCATGTATATTATTTCTAGGAAACATTTTTTTTAGTTCAAAAAAAAAACTATCTATAAAAAAAATAGGGGGTCGATCGTAGGGGGTGACAATTAAGGGTTCTTGTATATAGTATAAAAACAAAAAGTTTTGTCTAAAAAAATTAAGTTTAGGGGTGGGGCCACCCTTACCATTTAGGGGGATGAAAAATAGATCCGTCTCGACTCCGAATATATAAAATTTTCATAAGAACTCGAGACGTTAGGGAAAAGGGAAAAAAAATTTTGACACGAGAATTTTATAAGCTCGAAACTTTTGATGTATATTATTTCTAGGAAAATTTTTTTAGTTCAATAAAAAACTATCCCAATTTAATAAAAAATAGTGTTAATTTAGAGGGGGTGAAAATTAGGGGTTGATGTATCATAAAAAATTATACTAAAATATAAAAATAAAATTTTGGGGTGGACCACCCTTAACATTTAGGGGTTTGAAAGATGAATAATGGCCGATTCTCAGACTTACTGAACATGCATACAAAATTTTATAAGAATCGGTTGAGCCGTTTGGGAGGAGTATGGGAACGAACATTTTATACACGAGAATTTTATAAATATAGAGATATTATATTTATATTGCATATGAAGCTTGAGAAAGATTGTGCATCATTATGAAGCATGCCATAGAGAATGATTTTGTAAAATGCCGATTTTCCAAAAGTCGCATTTTTATTAGTAATTTTACTATCAATGTTTCATATGTATTTACAGTTATATTAATAGTGCTAAGCGTTCGTTTAATAAATGGGTTTATTATTATGTTCAATCAGAGAACATCACAAGGGAAATGTCGAATCGAATCCCTGAAAAGGAAATTACCTCTCGATGCCTGCGTATCGTGCGGTCCTCGTAACGTGTGCCCCCCGTGGAAGCCATAGGCCGACTGAGCGTGCTGTTAGCGTTGCTAGGCGAATGTGGCGCCCCCGCTGTGCCTGACGACGGCGTGCCTTGACCTAACGTTATATGGTCTATGTACATGCCAATGTGGCTCTTACGCTTATAGGGTCTATATACGTTCTAAGAATAGAAAAGGCTGGGCTAGTTGGTGATAATAATTTATGATAAATAAAAAAAATACCAACTAAAATATTCAAACAATTGTATATACGATTTTTTAAGACACAATTTAAGATGCAAATAGCGTAAAAACCACGTGGCAGGAGTATGTTAAACATTTGTACACAATAGCAAGGTCATACACATAATTGTTATTCATTAGACATTGTTTATAATGTACAAGAAGTATTAATAGATTATTGCAATGAAAACAGTGCATTTTTACATTAATTAATTACAACGCGGACTAAGCATAGCATGTTTGTTACCATGGTTACCAATTAAATCGTTTCATTATAACAAACACATTTAACGTCTATTACAGGCCATCTTTATATTCATAATGGCAGGCCATTTAGGACCTTATTTCGACTATTTAAAGATTAAAATTATTCTCTAACTTACCGCTAGTACTGGAATTCCTCGTTGGTTGAGCGGCCCGAGCCGGAGTAAGGAAATCGGCTTCACGCCAACCGTGTTTACGGTATACCTCACGTAACTCCGCGTGAGACCACATTGTCATCAGTACTTGGCCTAAGGCAATATATTTAATAAGCAACTTTAATTAATATGCGTGTATAAATATTATTCATATCGGAAGAGTATATAATATAGAACATAAAATTTCCCATCATTAAAGCAAAATGCATTAGTAGTTATAACCTACAGATTTGTAATTTATTTATAAGTTTTAATAATGTGTACACATAAAAGCTACACAAGAAAGCATATGATGCGAATCTACGATACGATTTAGTAAGGCAACACCATTTGGAAGGGCGACCATCCTACGTAGTAGCCGTACTGACGTGTTTTATAGAAAGCGTCAGATGGATCGAAAACATCCTCTGTTATTGTTAAATAGCATGTAAAAAAAATATGTGGGTTCATGATTTATTTCGATATGAACTCTGTGAAACTTTTTATAGAGGTTTAGTTGCTAAAATTTATTGTTATAATTTTCTCACTTGTGTCCCATATGACGGGTACGCTCCTCAATTAAAAATTTTGAAATCCAACTATCTTATTCCGCAATTTTTTTGTAACACGCAAAAACGGCTGAATCGACGTGTCGTTCTCTAAAGCTTCTCAGAGCGGACTAAAATCGTCACGTCTTTCAAGGATGACGTATGGAATGTGCTATTACGAATTAGATCGGAAATTCTTGCGGTGCGTAATCTTTGCGATAGTAATGCGGTAAATTCGCAGTATTTGTGATTCCTGTCTATGATAATACAAGCACTTTTGACATATCAATTTATACATCAAGGAACCACAAAATAATAACTAAAAATTTTCATAATAATAACTAAAACTAAATGAAAACTTTAACCTCATTATGAGCAAGTAAACACAAATTAGTAAGTTGGAAGACTGTTTTTTTATATAATAGGGGGCAAACGAGCTTGCGGGACGACCAAAAAGGGCAGTCTTCGCAGCCGATAGATACCCATTTTTTGTGGGTGCGTTGCCGGCCTTTGAGGGAGGAGTAGGCTCGATATTTGAACATTTGGAGGTCGTATCTCTGAGGGAAGACCCCCACCGGGAGTCGTTTCCACAGTTCGCTAGTTCGCAAAAGAAAATGCCTTGAAACGGACTGTGGAAGACTTCCAACCATCAAGATGATGTTGGTGAAATTTAGAGCTCGTACGGTGTTGAAAAGAGGCAGGAGGGATCAACCCAAACAATTCTTCCGAACACTCTCCGTAGTATACTTTGTAGAAAACACAAAGAGACGCAATGTCTCTGCGTTGTAAAATATATCAATATTTTCATCGATGTTAGTAATCAAGTTGTATGAGCGAGATAGCCTATTCACTGGACCATTCAAAGTAGCAGATTATGTGGAGGAAGGATGATGCTGTTTCTCCAACCTAAAGTGAGAATACTCGACCAGTTTATCCACTGACTGGTTCGAAGACCACAGTGGCTAAGGTCGTATGACGTCATCGTTGTGATTAGTAGGCACATTAAAGGTGTCGCTACACTTATTATTAGATAACCTATTATGAATTAGGAATTAAATATTATGACACTATCTGGTCAATATATTCTTGAAGCCTTGTTGTATGTCCAAAAAAATATAAACGATTTTAAAACAAATGGTGACTTTCACCAGTATAATACGCGAAATAGAACTAATTTGAGTGTACGACCAACCAGGCTCCAAAAGATAAACCACTCCTTATATGGAAATTGTATTCGTTTTTACAACAAGCTCCCAAGCGAAATTAGAGAATTATCACTAAATAAATTCAAAGCCCTCGTTAAACGAAAATTAATCAACAAAGCTTTTTATAAATTTGAGGACTACTTAAATGATCCTAATCCTTGGGATTGAATTGCTCCAGTTCAAACAATTTGTATGACAATATTTGGCGATTAAAAAGAGTGGCGGAAAGTTTCTTGCCAGTTCTTCTTACCCGCTCTACGCCCTTGACTTGCGAACTGGTAGTAAATGTAAATTTACGATTAATTTAACTTGACGATTCAAAAGTGTACTTGGTTACCTACTTGAATAAAGATATTTTGAGTTTGAGTTTGAGTTTATTTTCCGGACATTTACAGCACACCACACTAATAATGCGCATACAGATCTTCGCCAGTGGTCGTGTACCCGGAAACACCCGAATAATTGAATCGTAAGAGTCCTAAACAATGCACTTGCATTTTGCACCTTGTTCGAATCACGTACACGTGATTTTAACTCCTATTTATTTCGTACAAGGTGCAAAATGCAATAATCGAAGATTAAAGTTGCCGTCCGTCCATCGAATTTCCATTAAAAAAAAAAATTATTTAGACCTACCCGCAAACTTAAGCACCCTAGGCGTATGTCTGTGCCGCTGCTTAGTGAGGTTCAGCAGCCGCTCAACTCCACCCGCTTCAAGAAGAGAACGCGAGAACTCTGCGCTCTTCTTTATCACCTCGTTGAGGGTAGCTAACACTGCTGCTATCGTGTCGTCGGAGGTACCCTGCAATTTTATTCTATTGTTTAGAAAACTTACGTTTCGAATTACATTTTAAAGAAAGTTTTTGGGCTTTTGTTAATGAGACTAATGACAAGATAGAGACTTTAATAGAAATCAGAGTGTTACATCCACTTTAAGCACAATTACTTTCATTTACCTGATCATGTTGCTGGTTCCCACTAGGCAACTTCTGCACGAGATCTCGCATTGCATATTTCCCAATCAACTCCTTATTCCTTTGGTCGATGGCCAGATTCCGCAGTGCGGTCGCAACAGCGCAAACAACGCGATCTACTTCCATACGGAGTAGTTCTACTAGGATTGGTAGACCTGAAAAATTTATGTTCAATGTTCCTTATTAATTAAATTTTCAGTCAAAAATGGTTTGTTTTCTACTTAACTTATTTACAAATCAGATGAGTTCGATGGTGATATTTAAAAGTGATAACAATACAATTAAGAAATATAATTCAAATACTTTCTATTTAATGTACCCAAAGTTCGATAATTTTTTTTATCGAGAAAGATTTACACCTTATTACTAACTCACTTACTAAATATAATGTTCTTTTTACGCCATTAAATAAATCTTTACAAAAGGACTAATAATATTAATTGGATTGGTAAGAATAAAACGATTTTATTCAACTATATAAATATATATCAAAGAAAGCAATAAACTAAGTAAAAACTGGTTAAGTAACACTTAACAGTTTAGTATAACTTACACACTTATAAAAACATATTCACTATTTATTCCACTGAGGAGCTCAGATGTCATAGCTCTGTCAAATCACAAGAAAGAGTGCGACCGTGCGCATTCTCTAATAAGGATGTCATTAATAAATTTAAAGGTTTAAGCAAGATTCGTACAAATACGAACGAATTAATAATGACAACCGTTCAGAAAAAGTTACTTTTACATACTGTAAAAGCGCACGTCACAGATCACAGGTGGACGAAAACAGTAACTACAACGAGAGGCCCACCAGGCAAAAGATACAGAGGCAGACCCTACGCTTGATGGGATGAATCAAATCATCAAAAAAATCGGGAATCCTGAATGGATCCAAATAGCTCGGGATAGAGAAAGATGACCAGCCTTGGAGGAGGCCTTTACCGAAGGGGTTCCTGATACTAACTAACTGTAAAAGATATTTACTAACATATAAGATTAGATATTAGTGTACCAGGAAATAAAATAAGGCTAAAAAACTTACTAGATTTAGAAAATACATTTAAAACCCTGAATTATTTAGATATTTTTGTATAACGAATAATATTCTTAAAAGTTTTAGCTAATTTTTTTTAATTAGTTCTCACCTTTCTCCTTTCTAACCGCAGCCCTAATGTCAATAGATGGTTGCCAGTAACAAGCTGCCAAGTTCTGTAAAGCGCCGGCCGCCGCTTCGAGAGTTTCGGGGTTAGAACACGTCTGGAGTAGTGCCATGTATAGTGGAACCACCTGAAAGTATATTACAAATACAAATAATTCGTTTTTACCAGGACATTTTAGTAACAATTTATCTCATACATTTGATTAACTGGAGTTGGTACAAATAACCATGACATCATCCATCGATTTTATTCAATATCCATCATTCATCACGCAATTTTTAGCACGCACATACCCACGTCATGCAATTTTTGGAGATTATTGACCCCCCCATGTAACGCGCCGTAACGTTTTCTGTACCCAAGTATAGTAAAACGTTTAATGACCACCTAGTGACTCTTTATACCTAAAAGTTACCATTATCAAATCTAAATCGAAAATAATATTAACAGTAACGCGTAATTCAATACCCGCCCCGCATCGTAACGTTTTAAAAAAGCCCCCCCCCAAATTCGTTACGTAATACTTGAACGCTCCCTTATCATTTTACCAGAAGAAGTCCCAAAAGTGAATCTCTTTACAGAATATCCCATACTCAATAAATAACCTGTAAATAACGGCGGTACAACTATTTGGCTCAAAGTACTGACTCTTTAAGCAAATACATTAAGATAACATCTAAAACAGAGGTCAAACTATAAGCACTATACCAAGAATGATGAGTTTTTGTATAGATATCTATTTGAAATGTATTTTACGGGAGCAAAGTTAGACCTGTATTTAGAGTGTCAATCCAATTTCAATGTAGTTTCAAGAGCTGTCAAAATATTTTTTCAATATGAATTTTGACATATTTGACGGTGCTTTAGACGATTGTGACATTAAATACGAATTAGAATATGGACTATGTAGACTGTTAAAATTAAATTAAAAAAAAAATGGGTGGTCGTGACGCCTCTGGCCTAGAAATAGCATGTGTATCTTACCTCAGGTGACCACAACATTTCTGTACCCTTTGGAACAGTATAACCCAAAGAGTTCCCTGTCTCCAATGGCTGTGAATCCGCATCGTTCTTGCCCAATGGGCTGGTGGAGTTCGAAGAAGAACCCTCTTTCTTCTTCTTGCTACCACCAAAACAGCCTAGATTCTCTCCTAAGATGAAACAAACTGTTATACGACGAAATTATTTGATTTATTTTCTACTGACTGGAAATAAAATACAAATTAAAATGAAATGGAAAAATAATAATTTTAAAACTAGTATTAGTTGTATTTCACATAAACCGTCGAACCATATTGGGTTAGAGACAAGAGAAAAGAGAAAATCAAAAGTCCCGTCGGTAATGATTTCTTTAAAATCTGGGTAAATAAACGAAAAAATTGTTGAAATATTTTAAGAAATAATTGTTACACACCTTTTGATGCACTAGCTTGTATCCGCGCCTGTCCCGTACTCTGTGTGGGTGGCGCGCGAGTGTCGTACAACGGGTCTTCTATTTCTTGACATCTGATAAATAAATAATCATTATTATGATTAAAAATATTACAATTATACTTCGTTTCAACAGAAAAACAATATGTATAATATTTATGTGAATTTTAAAAAAAAGGTATTTTTGGTATATATGTAAACAAATAAATATATTTATTTTAGATTGTTAATTGTAAAATTGTGTCATGTGTAAAAACTGAGGTTTTATTTAATTCTAATATTAAGTTTGTTAATCTGTCTAAAACGCGAGTTTTGCCTTGTCACTTGAATGTTCGATGTTAATTATAAATTAGATTAAGATAATTGTTTTGAAGAACTTTTACGAAATAACAAACTCTAAATGTTGTTTCAATAATTATTTCAGGTAATTGATTCATTATTCATTATAGTTTTTGGTTAATTATAACTAAGATTTTTGTTTAAAACTAAGGTTGGAATAAATCTACAATAAAATAGCTGTAGGAGTACGAAATATGCAAGAAAATGTTATCCGTAGCTGGAAAAAATAGTACACGGCCGGCTGAAAATATGTATAAAATATAACTCACCGATAAGACAAATTTCGCAGGACACAAACGCAGTTTTCAACAACCTTAGTACCGATGGCATTGACGTTGAGGGCCGTACGCACTGTGTGTAGCAAAGCTTCGGCTAGACCGGGCAACGAACGCAGTCGTCGCCGTGCGTACTCGCCCGCTGACGATGCGTTGCGGAGCGTACCGGACGCGTTACGGAATACTGGAATTATTTGTATAATTATTTTATTTATTATCGGTTATTAAAGCTTGTGATGTTTAAGCTGTTCCTGTGTTCCACTTTTTAAACATATTTGCGAAAAATATTTAATAAAACTGAGGATATTCACCTTAAAATGTATATTTTTTTACAAAAAAATTCACGCTATCTTATTCAGCCAATTTTTTTTAGGTAAAAAAAACATTTTCGGCAGGACTGGAAATTAATAAAATATATAAGAAGTAGAACTTACTAGTAGACCAATACGTTTCACCAGGGTTCGTGGGATGCCAACCAGAATGCAGAATGATAACTTTATTAAATATAACTTGAGCTGCGTCATCTATTATGGACTGTTTTAGATCTTCACACGAGGACATGTTCCAAATTACGCCCGTCACTAACTCTTTAACCTGTGAGTATTTATAATATTTTATTCAATTGTACTGAAAAACGCCACAAAAAGTAGATTGTGTAGACATGAATATTATCTAAAATTGTCCTGCACTTTCTTTAGTTAATTCCATTTGAAGTTAACATTTCTAACCAACCTCACAAAAAACTAATGGAGGACAGTGTCCTTTCGAGGTAATCATTTTTATACGTAGTTTGTATTGTACGTAATTTCTGGAATTTAAAATTATGCTATGAAACAATTCTGGCGGTAATTATTGTATTATATATGTCGCGGTACGAGGGCCCCCGCGTTGTTCGTAAGAACAATCGCCGTCGCTTTCGTCACCACGTGGCATATTTCACGATTCCGGCCACCACCTCTCCACCCGTTCCGTCCCCAATCTCGAACCGTACACAGGCCTCACACAAACGCCATCTCTTAAAGAGACAGCATTTGACGCTTTTTAACAGCTAATAACGACATCTATGATCGCGTAAACGCAACCTAGCCGACATATAGATTATAGTCCGTAATTCTAGCGTTACAGATCATAAGATGCAATTTCCCCGTACTAGACTATCTAAAGGTAGCAATTCTTTTTTGGGAAAAGGGATACTCTTCTTTAATAAAATCCCAGAGGCTCTTTTATCTCTGCCTTTTAATAAATTTAAGAAATGTATTAAAGAAAAGCTGTGTAAAAAGGCTTACTTACTATAAAGTTAACGATTATCTAGTTGATAAAAGGGCCTAGGACTAGTGCTAGACAGACTACTTCTAATTAATTTGCGATATTTGTATTAAAATAAGTGTTGTTTGATGATTTGCTATTTTAAAAGAGTACCGAGAGTTTTTTACGCCTGCTTTTTCTATCGGCCTACACCCTGTCTTAGAAGTCGAAGAGTAGGGATGCCTACAAATTCAAATTTAATGACGTGGAATTATCCACGTCATTAAAGTTAGTTTAAATACCTGTATCTTGTGTTCCATAATAAACATATTTTTTTATTTTAAAGAAAATCTCAATTAGTTAAGTTTTATATTATTTTCTCACCTCCATATCCGAAGTCCTACAAAGCAGAGCCATAAGAGAAGGAATTCCTCCTGCGTCACGTATGGCCCTTTTGTTCTCATCGTTCTGTCTCCCGTAAGAGAGATTACGAAGCGCACCACACGCGTTTCGCGATACCTCGGGATTCTCATGTGTCACTAGTCGCACTAGGGGAGGTATTCCACCTAAAATAATAATATATTTTTCCATATACGGATCACAAAAAAATGTGTCATTTGTCAGGTACATCAAATAAATATATATTTCATTATTTAATAGTAACACAAATTTTAAGGCAATAAGTTTAAGGGGAAAGCGCCTAGTACCCTGTTCAGAAATCTTTTAGAAGCGGCATACATTTTAATATTTATTGTAATTCAAGGACGTTTAACTTAACTTTTGGACAATCCTATTAAATATAAATACAATTATTAAATTATTTATTGAGCCGTAGGGTTCAAGTGCACAGGCACTAATTAAAGATTTAAGTGTGCGCCTGGTAGATAGTACCGGTGACCCCAGAGCTGGTGCTTTATCAACGAATAAGTACCAGAATACAGCGAGGAAATGCTGCCATCGTTAAAGGTTCAGGGATAAAGCCACTGGGATCAAACTTTTTAAATTTGTTTTAATTTTATTTTTATCAACGTTTAATTATTATTACTATGTATCTTAAGGATATTATAAATACTGCATAATTGTGTGTTGGAAATAAATATATCTTCGATATTCTGTCGTCTTTCTTTCTTTTCTTATTATTAAGATATTATATAAATATTTTTTTTTGTGTTTTGTTAAATGTTTTTTTAAGTTATAGTTTATCCTAACAATAGAAATTCATGAAGTAAATTTAGCTTCATACTACTCAACTAAAATTAGCCTTTGTTAACTATTCCTTCCATTTTGGGGACTTCCGGACTTTTCCTTTTTGATAATATATGTACATACCTAAGCTCCTAGTTTTCTGTTTATTAGGATCGTCCATATAAGTGAGATGTTGCAGGTAGGCAGCGGCATTAGCTTTAACGACATCTGACGGCGAATTGAGGAACCCGATGACCTCTGGCAAATTGGGGTCTCTCCATTGCAGACCTCCACCCTCTTCGCGACCCACTCCGCCATGGACTAATAAAAAAAATATTTTTTTATATTTATTAAAATACGAATTTTAAGGGAGTATTAAATCTTCACTTCAAAAACAAGTTTAGATAGAGTTAACAAAGGTTACCATTAAATAATTCGAAAATATTATTTGATTTATTTTATACCTAAAGCCATATTTGCCATTTGTTTCTGTAATTCCTCTTCGTCTCCATACAAGGACTGTCCTCCAGTACTTCCTAAGCTTAAGCCGTTTTGTGAATCCTGAAATTGTATGAAATATTATAATATAAAAAATTTAGTAGCTAATCGTTCGTTATTGTTACAAACGATTGTTACTCGTAGTTTTTTTGCCAAACAAATTTGCAGTTATACTAAACGAAATATAGTAGCAAAGATTTTTATTTAAATACACTGGTAATCCTGGATTCGATTTTCGATGAAAAAACAGTTTGATAGGAAGGTAGGTCCTACTTTACCTAAAGCTAACCATAAACCCATCGGCCGATCAAGACCGGATTGCTCCATTTGGACTCAAAATTTTTATCCTGGAATTATTTCTGAGTTTAAAGGAATCCAAAAGATGTAAGCTGATATTGAATTGATAGGTTTACTAGAGTCTACTTCGCTAAAAGTAGGTAAATTTGTACCTTAAATGGCTGTGCCGTGTGATGTTGAGGGTCAATAGCGGGCTGGTAATGTTGGTACGTATACGCATCGGCTGCGTACTCGTTTCGCGGTGACGTCACACAGTAATGGCGGCCTAACTGCTCTAGCGACGATGAATCGTACCTGTGATAAACATGATTGCTTATCCCACTATTTTAAATTAGTTACTCGTAATAGTATCAGTACTTTTTAGTAATCCCAGAAGTTTATTGAAAATATTTTTTAGTAAATTACAATTAATAACGTAAAAATTGTATTGTCTTTTATTGAAATAACCTTTACACATTTAAAGAAAAAAACTTTTTAACCGGATTAAAGTTATGTATTATTATAAATTTACAATTATTTAACATAATTTTAAATTGGTGACTGAAGACAAAAGGTAAGGTGACTGAAGACAAAAGGTGTTAGATGTCAAAAAGTATCACAGCTTAGAGAAAGTTGCATTATCTGTATTTATTACCCCGGAGTTGGTGTCGACTAAAAGATGAGGAGGGTTTTGGCAAAAATGGCTCACGGTGTCCTCTATTTTCGCGGATTGTTTTTCTTGAGATTTTAATTTGGATATTATTGGAACCCAGGTGTTTGACAATTTTAGGCCGTCTTCTTTAAACGTAAAAATTATTAAATATTCTTTAAATTCATTAAAATATCAATACAAACAACATTATTTCTTCTAGTTTTGACTTAATATAGCATAAATAGTACCTTTGTTGCAGATGTAAATTGTGCTGAGGAGGAAGGGCACCCGGAGATGCGCTTCGGGGAGATGCACTACCACCACCTTCTACGTACTCCTGAGAATGGAATATGTGGATGTATTACAACGTATAAAAAATAATCTAAAAATATACACGAAAACCTTCTAATATTATAGAATACTTGTATTTTTTATTAATTTTGATCTAAAAAGTCTGGTCCTTCGAGCCGGATACCTGAGTCATGTAAGCCGGCATTTGGGGGTCAACGAGGTAGGGCTGTGCAGGATAGGCAGCGCCGTAATGCGCGTATGTGCCGTAGTGGCCTGCGCTCGCGCCGCCACCGACACCACCATAGCCACTGCCAACTGACACTGCTTCCATAACCTGCAAAAAATTAAAATATTTTATTATTACGTCATTCTTTCTTCCAACATTTATTTTGAATTATATTATTGCACCCATTATGCGTATGCAACTAATAGGTATTAGGATTTTTTTCAGCAATAAATAATATTATTAGAATTAGTACATTTTATAGATCTCTCTTCTAGATAGTTATCTGTTTACAAAGTTTTTGTCATGTGCCTACTATAGTGGGACCGAATTTCTTGTTGCTTACAAATCTTTAGACTTTAATGTGTTTCATACACGCTGCCAATTGATTAATTCAATTAATCAAAGGCCAATTTTATTAGATACGTTAAAATTTATTAAATGCGAAATTTATTACATAAGTTATTGAAAAAATACTTACGTGTGGGTACTTCTGTGAGGGCGCCATAGTAAGGTGTCCCATGTGATTGTAATGCGCAGCGGGTGATGACACATATTGACTGTATTCCGCTTCTACGCCACCACCCACTGGGTACTCGCCCGCCTGAGAACATATTAGAACATAGTCTGTAAAGATAATGTATGTATTTCTGTAATAAATAAATATTCATATATTATATGCGGTCATAATCGAACCAAAATAGATAAAAGAAATGTATTAACTGAGCTGTGTCATGTAAAGGTAAACTGCATGATGTTTACTCGTAAACTTAGAACAGACTCATAAGTGTTAAATTGATAGTTTTATAGCATAGATTTATATCGTTACATAGGCCCCGACACTGTAGCATTGTTTTTGAATGTGTGCGTTAACAAAAGGCCGACACACGCACACTAACGAGTAGTTAAAAAATCGTGTTTCTGCCATTGTACTTATCTGTTGTTATTACCTATGTACTGAGAAAATAGTGTCATCTCTTTTTCTCCTACATTAGTTGCAAACACTACTTTCTCTTTCGTGCACTCGCCATTTAAATTTGTTATTTTAGACAGTGCGGAAGGAAAAATAAAAGTTTTTAAATCAAATCGCAATACTTACGAGTGAAATGTTACACCTCTGGCTTTATTTGTGTTTCTAGAATTGTTGTTGCACTTTAGAAAGGCACACGATGGCATTTTGTGACACTAAACTGCTCGCAAACTTCCTTTACAACACGTCCGGCTAACACTGTGTTTAGGGTTAGTGAGCTCACTCACTTCGACTGTGGAACAACACGGCGCGGTCTCACTGCGGTAAGGGCCTATCTAACGATATAAATCTATGTTTTATAGACGCTAAGCGTACTTACCTTAAGTACCTTTGGGCATAGGTTAGTACGGTCATTAATTACATAATAAAATTATCAGCCGTAGACGATTTTTTTTTAAAATTCTTAAAACTTTACAATTTATTAAGAATTTTCAATGGTTACCCTTAGCTGTTTCTAATTAATTATTATCACCTGCATAGCGAGATGGTGCTGATGCGCAAGCGCAGCGGACAGCTCCGCGTCCTCGGTGGAGGCGTCCGATCGCGACACGGGGCTGTGCTGCTGACCGTAGGCGCCTTCCACCGGCCCGTTACTGGAAATAATAAGATATATAAACATATTGTTCGGTAAAATATCAAACCGTATTCAATACTATTTATATGAAATTATATTATAAGTTTTAACTCATTCTCCGACGCATTATACTACACATACCTACATCGTATTAGTCACCCTCCAAATAGGGTTTATCACTGAAGGGCCCGTCTAACAACAGTGACGGTTAAAATAGGGTCGGGGTTCACATACTTTTCCGCAGAAGAAATCCATACTATTTAGAAACTGTTTTTCTACAATAACTATCACCGAAACCCAAACAAAAATTTAACTAAATCCTATATAGCGAAAAGCTTTCAATAGCTACGAAATAACGTAGTGCCGCTTAAAAGCGGAAAATAACAATACATCGCGTACACCATAAATCATTTACGAGGCCTACATATCACAGGATATTCAATTATGGTTGGCGCTCTCAAATAACTCGATCGATTAAAACCAATTCGCGTCACAAGTTTAATGAATCAATTATGTGTTTGAGAGTCATCGCCGGTCGATTGTATGGGCTTGATCATTGTATCTTGAACTAGCTCTGGTCTTGGGGTTTTAGCATATACAATTTAGGGTGGTCCTTATTTTTCGACTTTTGAATTATCCTCGGGGCACTTTCTAATTTGATTATATACCTCTAAATATGAAATACGTGTTTTTTTTTGGTTTTTGTTTTTGTTAAGATTTAGAGGTCGCTACCAGCTGTCAACATTTTTACAAATAAAATATTTTTTTATATTATTAAGTCAATTAGATACCAGTCTTGATGTCTCTAAATTGAGTGACAGACAAGCAACTATGGTCGTGACATCTACTTTGAAATGTGCAGGCTGTGGTCCATCAGAATTTAATGTCAATAGATCTACTATGCGTCGGTAATGGGTCAAAAATCGCAAAGCTGTTGCAGATTCGCTCAAAAGCGAGTTTAAACCTAATTCGTCATTAACAATCCAATGGGACGGTAAACTTCTAGAAGATATTACTGGACACAAAACTAAAGATCGGCTGCCAATTTTGACATCGGGATATGGAGTTTATCAACTACTAGCTGTTCCAAAATTGGACGTTTAACAAGCGAAGCTTGTGCGTCAGCTGTCTATGAAGCTATAAAGTCATGGAATTTGAACTATAAAGTAAAATGTTTGACAATGTTTTGACACTACTGCTGTAAATACAGGCTTAAAGCCGGGTCCACATTTGTAGCATGTTGACGTATCACGATCAGTCGTATCGTATCTAGTATCTGTATCATAAATATGGACGCTCATTTTGTCCATGTCGTATATTTAAGGCGTATCTTGTAAAAAACGCGTCCATACTTATCAAATGCTGTATCATGTCAGTGTATCGGCTTTAACTTTACAAATATAGACGCTTCACTTTTCTTCCGATGTATCATGATGCGCGTGTCTTTCAGTGCACCTTTCCCTTCTCGCAATGTTCAGTCATATCTTCGTTCCCAAACGGTTTAACCATGTCAGCAATTGCTCACAGTTTGGCGGTGACTAGCGCCTGTTATATTATCATTAATAGTATTTAAAAAAAAAGTTAAATCTAGACGTAGACGGCGCTGGAAGTGTTTAGAAACCGAAACAAACATGGTGAAATACCATTGATGCGAGATTTAAAATTTCAGCATACCAGCGGAAAATACAAAAATTTCACTCGCATGTCACCCATTGATGTTGTGTATTCCCTTTGATGATCGCGAAAAAACCGACACAGGATGGTTCGCGGTGTATCAAGTATCGTATCGCGATACAGTATCGTGATACAGTATCAAAATACGTCCATACCACCGATCGTTATACGCGTATCGGATACGAGGTGTATCAAGATACGCGCTTAGTGCGGATCGGGCCGTATCCGATACGGCATGTATCATAAACGGGTATCATTTTGCGTCCAAACTAACGATCATGATACGCGCCGAAGCCACGCAACGGAGATACGATACACCGAAATGCTACAAATGTGGACCCGGCTTAAGGCGTGGAGTATTCGTCCTTCTGGAGCGCAAAATGAATAAGAATAAGCTTTGGTTTGATTGTCGTTACCACATAATGGAAATTATGTTGTCAGCTGTAGTGGATCAATAATCGCTTGCCCCATCTAGTGCTCCTGATGTACAATTATTCAAAAGATTTAAGAACAATTGTAACACTATTGACCAAAGCGACTTCAAATCAATAACAGCTGATGACGCTGAGGCAAATATTCTTGCAGAAGTGGCCGCAGACAGGATTTCGTTTGCATAAAAGCAACTTCAAGTACATGAACCTCGAGATGACTACAGAGAACTGTTGAATCTTACTATCATTTCCTTAGGAGGTGTTCCTGACCAAAGCGTTTCATTTCGGAGACCTGCTGGTCTTCATCGAGCTAGGTGGATGGCAAGAGCCTTGTACAGTTTAAAAATGTATTTAATTAAGCATCAGTTTAAGCTAACGAAGAAGGACGAAAAGGCTGTGAGAGAAATATGTATTTTCACGGTAATGATTTATGTCAAATATTGATCAAGCAGTCTTCGAGTCAGTCAGCACCAAGAAACGACTTACAATTATTAATAGACCTTAAAGCTTCAACAAAAATATAGCTACTGATGCGCTGATAAAGATTTTAAATCATTTGTAATTTGTCAGAAGACATAGTTTCGCTTGCGTTTTTCGATGACGAAGTTTCAGTTCAAGAGAAGATAAAAATGGCAGAAGTACTCAAAATTTAAGGCACAGAAGATTGCTTAAAACGAATAAACCTTGACATCGCACATATCGACAAAAAATAGAAAACTTCGTGAGTAGTCATTCCTTAAGATTCTTCCAGACCCTAGATCTCTCATCATGTTTTTTTTAAAAGACGTCGAAACCTGGAACGAAGATGCTGATTATAAAGCTGCCAAAAATATCGTTCATTCATTGCGAGTAGAGAACGACATAGCTGAGAGGAATGGAAGAATATAAAAAATTAATTACCACAAATAAAGAACAAAAGCAATGTTATGTTTGCTTTTGATGGTAAAAGAGTATAGGAAAAAGTACCCTAATACTAACAATTCAACCCTTGTATCTTAAAAATAAACAAATCAGATATCTATATAATATCGTAATTAATAACAATAACAATAATTTCGTAATATTTTTAAGACCTGGGTATAAAAATAAAGAATTCTAACAAATACAGATTTTCAATTTTTATTTAAAATTCAAACCTTGGTAGAGCGACCTCTAAATATCATTTAAAAATTTCAAAAAAAATACTGAAACACTTTTTTATGGTATTTAATCAAATTACGTGGTGCCCCGCGAAATTAAAGAAAAAATTTCATTTTCATCGGAATAAGGATCACCCTAAATTATACATATGTACCGTTTATTATTATGGATATGGTTCCAAATTTATATATAATGCTATAATAATAATAAAACCAGTACGATTACAATTAAGAAGGTATTGGGAGACGGGTTTTCAAGCTAGGTATGAACCTGTGATATGGATAAGGATAACTAGACTTCCATTCCACAGCAAAAATATATGTTTGCATATATGAGTAGGCAACAAAATTTAAAGTTTCTAAAAAAATAAGAAAAACACATCAAAACAGTCAACTCACCACTCAAAACAGATTCCTACAGAAATAGAGTTGTATGGGTGTATGGGTGTATGTGTGTGTGTATGTGTGTGGGTGTGTGTGTCTGGGTGTATGGGTATGTTTGTGTGTGGGTGTATGGGTGTGTTTGTGTGTGGGTGTATGGGTGTGTTTGTGTGTGAGTGTCCTGTGTGAATGAGTGTGTGTGTACCATGACCACTGTCAAGGTTAATTTCAGGTGCTAATATTAAGGGATCTCAATAAAATATAGAAATTGAGATTTTTAAATTTATTATTATTAAAAAAATTATTTCTTTGTTTCTGTGTATCCAACACACTGCACCATGCTGACGCCGTTAAGTGTAATCTTAAAGAAAATTCATTTAAAAATATATGTTTAGATATATCTAAAACTAGCTAACATCTAAAGGTCGGTTACGATCTTCGTAGACATCGTAAGGCCACGGATACAATAATGACATTTTTATATCAAAACGCATTGTTTTTGATAAAAAATATCCATCAGCTCGATATACACATAGCAATTCATCATTCCCTCTAAATACGGGATCGCCTTGTTTCATATAACTGCTATATTAGCTTGCCTTTGCACTAAATAAAGAGGTTACCATTCATGCCCGGTCACTTTAAAACCGTTCAAAAGACTAAGCTTATTCGTTGAAAAGGGCTTTACCATATATAAGTCAAAACTATATTCAGGTACTATACTCTTTAATGCCCCAACTTATTATACCCCAACTCAGGTTTACGATACAGCCATTGGTTTATCACTTTATAGACCAAAATGCTAGCAATTGCAACGAAAGAACACGAAGAGTTTCGCTTATAATAACGTTAACGGTCGGTCTTATTTGTAACAATCCCTCAATTATTCAAATAATATTTTGTCGTGCCTATTTTGAATGTTACATGTTCAATAATCATTATAAGGCATGGTTATGAATGTAGTTATAAATACATGTAAATATTAACACAATAAACATTGTATAAAATGATGTATACTAACAAATCAAGATCAGCTAATACTAAACTCTGATAGCAATACAAGAGATAAGTCGTACGACGTTCGATTTAGGGAGAAATTTTTTTATGAGATGGTTGGTGCCTGTCTAACACGGTTACGCATTCAGATAACTCAAGTTATTCTTTAGAGTATACACTTTTATTTACTGTAAACACAATATCAAAATAAGCAGTTTACAATAGAGCGGTGGAACCAGGACGTCGAACAGATTTAAAACTTATATACTATGACTAATGATGTGTATAACATAAAACTATAATTATTATATGGCGCGTATAAAACGGTTGAACAACGTGAAGATAATATATTCTATACAAATACTAAATGACTATTTACTTATAGAAACGAAACTCAAATGCGTTTCAGTCTCTACAGAATACA